AAATACACCTTTATCATTTAGCAGTTTAAGTCCTTTAATACTTATGTGAGCTAATCTATTGTGCCACTTGTGTGTGTCATCTTTGTTGGTCAAATTTATAGAGGAAGATGAATTTTTAATAATTTCAGCAGCAGTCACATAAATACCATTTCTTTTAATACCTTTACATGTGACAAGAGCACCCTTAATCATTTTCAGTATGTTGTTTCCAATTTTACCAGAAAAACCATCAGTTTCTAATGCTCCTACTGAAATAAGATTCCTAGCCATTTTTGGAATATATCTAACTCCATGTAATTTAAGCACATTACCAGTGTCAAATTTTAACGTGATATCACCAATTCCAGCAATTTTATATGCATGATTATTGCACAGAATAGCATGTCCACTTTCAGATTCTTGCAAGTTTTCAAACCAAGTTTTATGTGATGAAACATGAAACGATGCACCAGAATCAAGTATCCATTCATTTAAATGTGATTTCACAGTCAGATTTACTTCAGTAGGTTCAGAGTTCAATAACACATATACTTCACAACATTCATCAAACGAAGTAATAACATTTGCCTCATCGTGAACCTTTTCTTTTTGTTTGTTTTTCTCAACATAACAATCTTTAATAAAATGTCCAGTTTTACCGCACCCATAGCATTTTCTACCTTTAGATTTACCTTTTGACCTAGATAAACTTCTACTCTTCTTTTTACTACCGAATGCGTATCCACTTTGGTTATCATGAGTTCTAGACTGAGACCTATCTCTCATCATATGAGCCTCACCACTTTTTCTCTCGACTCTTTCGGCTCGCAATTCCATATCTTTACTTCTTAACGAGTCTATGACAATTTCAGGTGTTAAAGTATCTCTCTCGTATTTAATAGCACTTTTAACCTCTCTATAAGTATCAGGTATAGCATTTAACAAAATGATAGCCTTATATTCTTCAGATACTTTTTCACCACAGTTATTGATATCTTGCACAAGTTTATTGAAAATATCTAAATTGTCATCCAAATCTTTTGAAGAATCAATTTTGAAACTAAAAAAGCTTTCAAGTAGAAAAAGTTTGTTTGGAGTGGACTTAGAAACATAAAGTTCCTCCAATTTTTCCCAAAGTTCTTGAGCTGATTTTAATTTACCAACTTTTCTTAATACCGCATCAGACAAGTGTAAAATTATAGAAGTATATACCAATTCATCCAAATTTTCTTTTTCTTCATCAGTCAAAGTTGCAGGAAAAGAATCATCAATTGCTTTAGAAACTTTTTGTTGAACAAGAATGCCTTTCATTTTCTGTTGCCAAATTGAAAAATCTCCTTTACCATTAAAGACACCCAACTCAAAGTGATGTGTCAACATCTTACTCAAAAATGCACAGAACACAAACTTCGATATGTAAAAGATCACAGGTCACACAGATTACACAAAGTAACAAGAAATCCTATGGTTTCACAATAATACTCTATTTCTAGAACCCCGGGATTCTGTGAGAATCACGTTCTCAGGTCAAGGGAAGAAACTAGAATAGGAGTCCGGATACAAGTCTAAATAATATGAGATTTAAAACGCAACAACATTCAACAAATTCTAAACACAATAAATAATTTCACTTAGAAATTAAACAAATATTGGCAAGTAATCCTAGATTCTAGCATCAAGCAATGGTTGCCAAGCAATGACAACCCCCAATCCTAATGATCACCCCACACGATGATCTGCTATTGCGATAATTTAAAAGTTTCAGCCAATTTACCAGAGCGGACTTTTCTGAGTCCGTAAGCTACGAGAGATGCGAATTTACTGCTTTAGGACCGCAATCTTGGCCTAAAGTAATTCAGTAAATGTACTGCAGATCGGACCAGCGACCACCAAGGGCAAAATCGTCCAACTTTTTCTACGTAACCTGAAACAGAAAACTTCCAACACGAAAAATGTTAGAAATGACAAGAGGAACAAACTGCCTGAAGACAGTTTCGCCAGAATTAGCTCCACGCGCCGCCACGCGCCTCCACCGAAATCTCCACGCGCCGCCGCCGGAAAAAATCACCACCACCACCAGGACCGCCTCCACCTGCTGGTTATGGGCCTGGCCTCAGTTTTCCCGGATGGTTAGTGGTTTGGCCGGAATTGGAGTTTTTAGCCTCGGGTTTTTCAAAAATTTTCGAACGGGTTTTCTTCTCCTTCAGTTTTCTGGCCGGTTTTTGGTCTGAATTCCACCACCACCATGCTCTGATACCAATTTGTTGTTTTAATCCAACCTGCAACCACACAACAAAGGTTAATGAAGGATTAAATCAAAATAAATGTAATGGAATTCAAGAAACCAAAAATGAAGCAGTGAACTAAAATGTAATGGAAGAAAATGAAACGAAATCCCCCTTTTTAATTCGGCTTAGAAATCTTCGACCCAACACCACAAAGGTAACTTCAATTGGGAGACTTTTTCATTCACGAAGAAGAAAAGGCACACCACAAAGGTCGACTTCGGTTTTCATAGAGAAGGAAGAAAAGTTCTCACGCTTGGAAGAAGAAGGCAGCCAGCTTCTCTCTTTATTTCAAATTGGTTGAGTGTTTGGATATATTAAAACTCTTGTATATTATCACGAGGGAAATCAAATCTCCAAGATAACAGGGAAGTTTAAATTCGAGTCCAACAGAAACAGTAGGGATAGGATAATTATCACGAGATAATTATTTGCAACCAATTCTATCTTTTGTGATTTCATTTATCTCCATAGTCGGGTATTGAGCATCTAGTCTAATGGGCTGATTTCCTCCAAATACCCAACACAATTGGGTTACATCAATTGTGGTGTGGGTCTAATATGTTCTTCAATATTAGGCTTATAGCCTATGAAGTTAAACGGGCCTCGATTTTCATCATTGCCTAGGGGATTTGGGTATCACTTACCAAAAAATACCCAACAGTACATAATCGGTGTATTCCCCAACAGTCTGATATAGAATTTTTTAGAATAGATTTTGTGAAAATTGATTTTTTTGAAGAATATGTCGTTAAAAATAGATAAAAGTTATTGATTCAAGTATAAAATTATTTTATTGTGAAATGTATAGATGAAAATGAATATAAAAATAATAAATTTTAATGAATCTATACCAAACATGTGCTAAACTAGAAATCGTTCAAAGACAAAACTATAAACTCTTTCTCATATATGTTTTGAAGATCCACTAGTCATTACTTACTGTCCTTTTAATAGAAATCACCATTCATACTTCTTAAATGAAAAAATAAAATACGGATCAAGCAAGATAAAATCAACCTTTATAACAAAATTTAACCGTAAAATGACTTTGATCTATTAGTAAAATTTACTCAAAATGTCAAGATTTGTTTAAACAACAAAATTCCAACCATTGAAACACTAATAATCAAATAATATTTTTTGGGTACATATCTCCTAGTGCTTAATAAGGTCAACATTTAGAAACGTTTTATATTATTGTATATAATATTTAAAAATCTGAACATGAATTCTCGACTATGAATCGAACCTTAATATGATACTCGAATTCTATCAAGAATGACAAAAAGAACTAGTATCAATGTAGAAATTGTGTCAATTTATTTCATAAGGCAACTCTGGTTATTTTGGAGGAAAAATGAAAGGCTCGCGGAAAGTAAAATAATAAGAGAACAGTGCTAAAATTGTTAGTTGCCACTTGCCATATCTTAGTGAAAAAGTTACTTCACATAAAATAAGTAATAAGTGACTTTTGAGATCGGGCAAACATGCGCCATTCTTCTCCGCTTCGACGCGCATTCCCCAACCACTATTCCGCGTTTCAGAAGGATAAAGTAAAGTCAAATCTATCAAAGATTATTATCCGTATTTCCTAATCAGTATTTTAATAATTGAAATATAAATTCAGAGATCTTCATATTCAAATTGTACGCAGAAATTAGATATTTTTTGTTTCAGAGAGAGAAGTGAAAGAAACAAAAGTGTTTGGCCTATTGTTTGATTGTTTTGCGGAAGTAATCCTTGGATCGTCATGAGTTTCCTGTTCGGCAAGAAAAAGACTCCCGCAGGTATGTTTCTGCATATCTGTTTATCAATTTTTATTTCTTTACTTCATCTGCTGAATTGAATTTAATTTGACGGTTTGTGGATTGTATTGTGGTTATTTACAAGAATTAAGGCAGTATAGTTGCAAGTAGAAGCTTTTTTCTTCTGCTTTCTTTGAACTTTGTGTATTTTTATTTCTGAATGTTTTTATTTTTGTTCAATATTTTCGATCTGATTGAATTACGAAGTCTGGGTAGTTTGTCGAATATAATAAATAGGGATTTGAGCAATCTGTTTATCAGTGGGTAAAGAAGATTTGGATTAAAGGACGGTCATTTTGCTGTAAAATTTCTGATGTTGCCATATCATCGAATTTAGGGATTTTTTTTTTCCTGTTATAGAATTCTCTTTGTTGGGTCAAATGTTATCCTGTATGAGAAGATTATGAAGAATGAAGCACAATTTATAGTATTGAGTAGATGGTTTCTTTTGTGATAAAACGTGGCTATCTTGTTAAGAAGCTATAGTATTTGCAAATATAAGTTTTTCTTAATGATAATTGATGACCTGTGTTAACCATTTCCTAGCTCAATAATATGTACCATATTGTAGCAGCAAATATTTCCTTTACACTGAAATACCGTAACACCTCATTTCCTCCCAATGAGACTCTTATGCCTTGTGATGGGATTGATGACACCGCAAACTTCTTTTGGCATTTTACATGAACATTTTTGTTGTCTCAACACTCAAGCTGGTATTATAAAGAACATATAAATACTTGTGTTTATGAAAACAGTAGGAGTTCAATATAAGAAATGAACAAAATTTCATTGAACAAGAAAAGTTTCTGCAGGATCTGTTTTAGCTAAAATTTCATTAAAAACTAAGAAAGGTGAACCTTCCATACCAGGATATATCCGACCAGTTTTTTTAAAGCGAGATAGCAAATAAATTTGTATCCCATTTTCCCCACCCACTATCCTCATGCTTCTGCAGATCAATGTGAGGATGTCTTCTCCATTCTCAGTTATGGCTTAAAACTTCTCTTTTGGAGTTCATGCATTCTAAATGTAAATAGTTGGTTGTTATTTAAGCGAGTCACATCACTGTTTTCCATTCTATATGACTACATTAATTTTGATATTATGAATGAGTTGGCATATTAATCATGCTGATCATAATTGAGGCTAGATGGTATTTTGGAATGTATGTATCATGATTAATAAACCACTTTCTCATTTGAAATTCTTCACTATTTTTCAGAGCTCCTGCGGGAGAATAAGAGGATGCTTGATAAATCCATCCGGGAAATTGAGAGGGAGAGACAAGGTTTACAAGCACAAGAAAAGAAACTGATTGTGGAGATTAAAAAAAGTGCAAAGCAAGGACAAATGGTAAGTTGTTTTCTCTAGATTATATGTCCTTGCTGATTCTTATATTATACAAGTTGTTTTCTCTATATTATGTCCTTGCTGATTCTTACATTGTATAACTATCTATTTCCTTCCTAGGTCCTGTCATTTTTTTGTTGTTGTTGTTGTTGTATTCATGCCCAGGCTGCTCCCATGAAGCCATTTAGTTTAGTTAAATTTTTCTATCTTCACGAGACATTGTTATTTTGCTGCCATTTTGTGATTCCAACCTTTCAACTAAATCTTGTTGTTTGAAAAAGTTTAGTTTAACTGAAGGCAATCTCTATGATAGCTAAATCAGGGAGGTAGGTTTAAGTCTACCTCCAAATATAACTAGCTTTGAGTCTAGTACTCAAAGGAAGGTTTGATTTCATGTGGTTTTGTTGCAGGGAGCTGTCAAGGTGATGGCCAAAGATCTTATCAGGACAAGACATCAGATAGAAAAATTTTACAAGCTCAAGTCTCAACTACAAGGCGTGTCCCTCAGAATCCAGGTATGTGTTGATTTGATTCTCATAGTTCCCTTATTTGGGAAATCCCATGGCAGCTTAAATTTGGATGTTATCCAGATGCCTTATTGTTTTGTCTGCATCATTTAGAGGTTCACGTGCAGGATCATCTCTTCCATGAGTCACTTGAGTCCTCTTGCATGTTGTGTTTTATGAATTTGGTTTTTGATTTTAGAAGGTTTGAATTTGAGTATTTGGTCACAAACATAGGTCTTGCTAATGACTGACATAGGGACAATTATCAACACATGGGTACATAAGTTTGAGAGTAATTGGATCAGTACCAAAAATCATAGGGATAATACCCCGCAAACTATGTCATAGTTCTTCATCTGACTAGTTTTGTATAATGCAATTGGTTTCCGTGGCTTGATATGCTGGCAATGATTCTGCTTTTAGTTCCTTTTGGACCAAAATTGGATTATTTTCTGTTCATAATTCAGCAAAAGGATTGATGATAAGAGATTAAGTTTATTGTGCAGTGTTATGTCTGACTATTGAGTCATTTTCAGTACCAACTTCTCGTGTCTTAAGTTGTCCTTTTTTTGTTGTTTCATTAACTATAGTTGCACTTTTCAGACATTGAAATCTACACAAGCAATGGGGGAGGCAATGAAAGGTGTCACGAAGGCAATGGGCCAAATGAACAGGCAGATGAATTTGCCGAACTTGCAGAAAATAATGCAAGAATTTGAGAGGCAGAATGAGAAGATGGAACTTACTAGTGAAGTCATGGGAGATGCGATTGATGATGCTTTGGAAGGAGACGAGGAAGAAGAGGAGACAGAAGAGTTGGTGAATCAAGTTCTTGATGAGATTGGAATTGACATTAATTCTGAGGTACATTTTCCCACTTTTGATTATCCATTTTTAAACTTGATTACATCGTGGTTCTCTTCTACAAGCTGATGAATTCATACTCAAATTAATGCAGCTTGTTAATGCACCCTCCTCCGCTGTAGCTGCCCCAGCTGCAAAGAATAAGGTTCAACAAGCTGAAGCAACAGGAAATGATGATGGTGGGATAGACAATGACCTGCAGTCCAGGTTAGACAATTTGAGAAAGATGTAGTTACTTGTAAAATAGAAATAATCTAGCACAAAAGCATTTTATGTGGCTTGTAACATTGTGAAGATCCTATTACCTATGATTTGGCTGTATGTCTCAATTTGAGTACAATTAATGCCTCTTTTACCTTTTACAGTGTCTTAAACATGAACTCACATGTAAAATGGGGAATTAAATTTGTTTTGTCAGTAGTATGATTTGAAACTCTAATAGGTGCTATCTATCTTTAACTTACCGTGCTTGCCTTGTGAGTGACTGCATGTTTGGTAGATGTGCACGTGAGCATTTGCAGGTTTTTCTCATGGGCTGTGTATGTTGCAGATAAAGCTTCGGATAAATAAGTTTTTCCCTATTTAAATTAGCTTGATTTTTTGGATGGATAATTCAATGTGATGTAAGGTGCATACACACCAAGTTCATTTTCTTGCCATTGCCAATTTATGAAAATTGTGCGTGGGAGGTCTTTCGTTGAAAATTTTATAATTTAAGTAAATAAGAGCTTGTTTGATTCTCATTAATTGGGGAAAAAAATGAGTTTAGAATAGTATTTTTAGGAGAATGCGACGTTAAAAATTATGGAAAAGTTTTTGGTATACATGCAAAATATTTTATTGTGTGAATACATAGTTGAAAATAATCCTATAGCAAACCATAAAATAAACTAACGAGAGTCAAACAGACACTAACTGTGTTCTCTTTGATTCTAAGTTTTTAGGTAAGGTGATTCTATAGTGTGCATATTGGGGCATGCAGGGGCAGATATATGCAACTTGGTATCTTGTCCAGTCTGATGGTAGTTGAAGACGTGGAATTCCTGAACCTTATTCAGGTCAAGGGCCGTGATATGTTATTTATCGCGCACAAGCATAACATATAAAATCTTTTGATTATGCAAAAGAGTGGCAAACTAAGCCTAGTTCTCAATAAATTTAGAGTCGATTACATAGTTCTTTTTTAGCCTTTCCATTAGGTTAATATTACCATGGAAGATAAAAATCAACTAAATCCTAGTAATTTCAACTGCCAAAGTTGCATTATTATTGGCTGCCAAAAAGTTGGTAACCCTTCTTTTCAATCCCCCCAGATTTTCTTTTGTAAACTATTGAGGACTCGAGAAAAAGGAAGAAAAGAAAACCCTACTATACTGTGCCTGCTTGTAGCAATCCTTCACGAGAATACTCCGATGGAGAGCCAGGAATATTCCGATGAGGAATCGGTTTCTCAACCAGGGAACGACAAAGTGGACAGTCGGAGTGAGAGTAGAGCCACATATCTATACAAGGTGCATGAAAGGAATGCTGGCATCTGGGCAGCTTTCTTACATCTTCACCTTCTTCAAATACCGATAAGCACACCACACATTCATAAATGTTACCTTGATCTTGTTCTAGTCCATGTTTCCTGTACTTGAAGCTTGTCATTGAGTTCATCCTTGTGTCACCGAATCTTGGTGACGAGGTAGTTTCGTGGCCATGACTTATTCCATGTCTTGGCCTGATGTTGGAATGATCTGTGCACCATTTTATGATGATGAGGTTGTAGGCTACAAGAACAATTGCAGCTATCCCAATGACATAAACGCCATAATACAAAACCGGCGAGTTTGATTTTGGTAGTGGTGGTGGTTGCATATAGGGGCTTAGAGGCTCTCCCATAGTGGGATACTGGGATATGTTGGGTTCTTATTTTTGTTATGGAAATGGCAGAATTCAATGAGAGGTTTATGTTTCTATCAACTTGTAATTTTATAGCAAATAAATTTGTAAGTAATATGTGGATTTATCAATATGAAAAGAAGACAAAACTTTTATAAATATTAAAATTGAATTGAGATGATAAAAGTCACGTCAGGGGTTTCCAATCTCAGAAGAGATGTGCTACACGTCTAGAGCCACATGCCCCCCAACCTATAGAGGGGCGCCATTTGACCCCTTGTCCGTCCAAGGCCTTGGACAAGAAGTTTTTTCCGTCTTACAATGCACTCTTTTTGTTTGATTTATTACTTGTGTTTGCATAGTTCATTGACCCGTTGATGTCATTTAATTATCATGATTAATAACATAAGGTCTGAATTAATCTAATTAATGACGGGCTAAATTAATTTTGAAAGTGACCCCCAGTCAAATTAGAACCGTTAGACAACCTGATCAAAAAATAGGTTTAAATTTCAATTATGAAATCAAACATTATTTTACGAAGAACTGATGAACCCAATAAAGCTAAACATTTAAGTTTCTATTTGATGGTCATTATTGGAGAAAAACAATGTTTTTAATAGTAATATTTTGAAGAATGTATGATCAAGAGGCATGAAAAAAATTACTCAGCTGGCCTCATAGGGCAAAATACATAAGAATCAATATAATATTTTTATACAAAGAGGTGATCTCCCTGTACCCGGATGGGCTTACTAATAGTTATTCACTTGCACAAAAGCTCTAATTTACCCAATCCCTTTCATATATCAAGAAACAAAGTAATAGAATACCCTTTTGTGAGGGAAACACTTAAAAAAGATTTACAGCTTATGCAGAAGGCCATGTTTATATTACTGAGTGTCAACCTCATCCACACTTGCAATTCCATGGTGATACAAATGATATGATTGGCCAAGGAAATGAATAAAATCTACAACAAATTTGCCATTGTTTCTCAACTATTGGGGTGCATTAACAAACAGGGGCTTAATCGACTTTTAGAGTTGTGTTTGATGTACAAAATATGGTTCACAGTATTTATACAAACTTCTGCTTGATAGTTTCCTTTATCTTTAGCCAAAAAACACGCACACAACAAAGTGTAGCCAACACATTGTCCGTAAGGTGCCTGTGAACAATTCCGATGCTAAGGGAATTATTCCAATTTTTATCATAATCTGCTAAAAATTTGATTTTTAACTATACCATACATGGATTAGATATCTTTCTTAACTTGAAATGATACCGGTAGAAAAAACCCACGAATTGTGTCGTATCAATGATACACAAAATTATGAGGCCTCAATAGTATGGTCATATGCCCAAAATTGAGATTGTACTAAACTCCACGAGCAATCAAAACATGTCTCTTGTTAGTCCAATAAAATTTACTTTACAATCCCATTTTTAACCGGTTTGAGTAAAGATACTGACTCCAACAATTTTATATTTTGTACAGCCATATCATTTTCCATTCAATTAAAGAGAGTTTTAAGATCGGAGTTATGGTAAATATTAAATGAAATTTAAAACTTTAGAAATCATAATCACTACACGTTTATAAAATACTACAATATTTCAATTCATCTCTGATTACGTATTTCTATAAATAGTTCACAAGTTTCAGCTTAAACATCAAAGCAGCCCTTCAAGTTTTGAATATAATCCCATTAGTCCACCGTGGATTCCTCCATTAGTGTCACTGAGAAGTAAATTTTGCGTTTTCTGTTTGGATACTAGAGCTTGGGCTTGAATTTTAAATTTTAATTAAATTCCATAGTCAAAGCCGAACAAAACTTGCTAAAGTGCCCGAGCGCATGTTTCTACTGAACTCATCTCTCAAAACGATCAGCCAAAAGGAATCCAGAAATGTAAAATAAATATTGATCTAAAAGAACATTTCAAATAGATGATCTACATTCCTCCTGCAGCCACTTCAATTTCCGTTGCCACCGGTGCAGTAGATGGCCTAATGTACTCTTCTTCCTTTGGAGGATGAATTGTGACTTGATCTGGAAGAGGAGTCATTGGACCCTGCTTTCCCTTGGGGTCCCAATCAAGCATGATCTTCACTTTAATTCCAAGTACTCCCTAAATAAACCACCACATTCGAAGTTGGCAAACCCAGAACAAAGAAGACAGTGAGTGGAACAGAATTCTGAATAATGCTGCTGCTTCTTTGAAAACAAAAAGGCAAGATAGTGAAACAAACCTGTCTAAGGAGAACATGTCTGACAGCAGAGTCAATGTACTCTTTCACCGGCTGACCAGAAGATATCATATAGCCATCTTTGAACTTCATTGATTTGGCACGTTGAGCCCTCAACTTTCCACTAACAATGACCTATTTTAAGTAGAGATTAGGCAATTATGTTAGTGTTTAGACTCAACCTAATGAATTAAAATCAAGAACCATTGTCGAGGAGCATACCTCGCAACCCTTAGCTCCATTCTCGATAATATATCTCAAAACACCATAGCAGGCCCTGAGGAAAGCCAGTATAATATGAGATGCTGTAGTTGAAGGAGGTTTCCATGTAAAAAGAGTGCTTGAATCTTCACGAATGAGGCAAATCTTTGTAATTTATTTTCTTCATTTCAACATAAATTCCTTAAATTTTAAAGATGGAGAAGTTCTAGAGATGCTCATACATTGAACTTGTGTAAATGATTTTGGAGAAAATGTACAAGTTGCAATCAAACGGTATGCAGTGTTCCTACTAACTTTAGTTGGAGATGAGCCTAAGAGATAAGCGTTGATAGCTGCAACAAATATCAAAACTCCAGAATCCAAAGAACACCAAGCAAGAATAGTGTCCTGGCAGGCCAGAGTTATTTTAAAATGGAAAGGAAGTTGGAAAAAGACTTGCATCATTTGGTGATTTAATTTCACAAATGACATTGAAATAATACACAAATCAAATAGCCATCTTCCGACACAAACAAGGCACCGAGCAACCCATTTGCTTTATAGATGACAGGTTAATCGACTAACATAATATATTCACATGAACAAAATGATCAAAGAACAACTCCTTATCATGAGTGTCGTAAGGAATGAAACCATTGCATCTTTAGAGTTTAGAGAACTAAAAGAGTTCTAATAATACATTTACATTATTCTTTTGCATATGTCCTCCCGACGTAACTGCATGAACACAAACACAATTCATGAAGATAAGATGTCATAAGGAAGACTTTCTTCTAGTCAACATCCAACACAAAATTGGTATAGAAGCACCAATTTGCTTTGTTGATGACGTACCAGTAATTATAATAGCATCTCATAACCAGCTAATGACCTCTAGAAACAAGTTAATTTTCCAGGAAAAGCAAAAACAACATAATTAGCCAAACAATTTAATATCGATAGTCAAGCACACCAAAACAAGATGAGATAAGCTTCAAATTGTTTCATTCGCTCAACACCATGTAAATGAACAATTGTACAATGTTATTTTACACAATAAAAAACTCTTACACATGAATGGGAATTTAAATTATGAAGTAACGAGAAGATCATTATAATTACAAGAATTTCATCGATGATATGTCCATTAGTTATTTTTAAGTCCCTGATGACACTCCCAACCAAGAAATAATTAAGGAAGGAACCGATTGATTACCTCCTGACAGCCAGGCCCCCGAGAAGCTTGTATCTGAGAGACTCGGCCTGAGCAATGGCACAAAGCCCCCTGTTGTTAACTTTCTCAGCATACAACTCCACACTGTTCTCTGGAAATTTGAACCTCTTCTGTACCACCGAAGTCAACTCCCGAATCCTCCTACCTTTCTCACCTATTGTAAATAAAACAAATTTTTTTATAGAAATTCTAAAACTGAACAAAAATTACATATCTTGCCATAAAAAAATGGCGAATTAAATGAGCTAAAACAGAATATCAATTGCTAACAAAAAAACAACAAAACGTGGGAATGGGGAATCACCGAGAACATTCTGAGTGCGAGTTGCGCGTATGATGATCTCAGTCCTCATAGGAGTTACCCTAACTTCCACACCAGAGTATCCATCCTCTGCCAGCTCACGTGTCAGCACCTCGTTCAGTTCCGCAAAGAACACTCCATCAGCAACAAACTGCAATACCAAATTCAAAAAATCAATCAATTACAACAATAAACGCTCATCCATACATAACTGCTGTACGCATAGATGTGATCGGAGGGGAACCTTGCGCTTCTTGCTCATCTGAGTCGCCATTTTGGGTTTACACGCCGAAAAAAGAGAGAGTTAGAGATCTGAGGGCTTGTAAATGAAGTATGTACTCAGTGAAGCGTAAACCCTAAATGCAGATCAGGATTTTGTTCCTGAAGTTCATGTGATATATTTGCAGTTGAAGCTATAGGGTTTGGCTATTGGGTTCTTTGGGATTTTAATGGTTCCATATTCATTGGTTATCAGGCTTAAATCTGGGCCCAATGATCATCCGGAACCATTTTATGTTTTATTATATGGGAAAATTTTATATTTTCAGAGTAAAGTACAGGCTAATTCAAAACTCAGAGAATAAATTTAAAATTTCAAAAATCAGGTGATAAGTGAATAATTAAAAATATTTTATTAATTAAATATATTTAGGTCACAATTATAACATTAATTGTCACTATTAATATTTATAGTTCACAACTTATTTATTAATCATATATTATCAAATTAATTGGTCACAAATTATTTTTCGATCATAAAATAAAAGTTTTATAGATTACAATTTATTTATCGACATAAATCACAAATTTTATAAGTCACAAATTATTTAACGATCATAAATTATAAAATTAGTTGGTCACGTATTATTTCTCAGTCACAAATTATCGAATTTTTATGTCACAATTAAATAGTTGATAAAAAACTAATCAAATAGTTGGTCAGAAACATACCCCAACCCACCGACCGCAATATAATTGGTCACCAACACCCAAATATCCATCCCTAAACCTCCACCGACACCAATCAAATGCCAAGCCACCTTCCAATCATCGCCACCACTGCACTACACCTCACCACACACCACTACCACCTCAACTGTGAAAACACAAGAACTGATATGTTCCTAGAAACCCTCTGTGTCGTCTCATCTTTGGTGTCTACTTCCAACCTTGGGGAAGATTTTGATGAGTATCCTCCACCATGAAAATGCAACTAAAAGAGCTACTAAAATCCATTCATTACAAACAATAATAACACGGATGAGGAGAAGAATTATCCCACCGTAAACAAAATTCCCTTGGGATACACCAAAACTCTTGCCATCATTACTATTTCCATAATCACCCTCCGACGATCCACTAGTCGATGTTCTAGTTCTAGTCGCATTTGAATTTGATGGATTAATACTGCTATCGACAGTAGTCGTGCCCAAAAATCTGAATTTGATTACAGCAAAAGCTAGGTACTTTCCATATAGATCATCTCCGTAAGCGTTATGCTCTAGGTCAAATCGATTTGAGTTGTAAACACTTTTAATATTTTTAATGTATTTATTTTGGCAAGATCAATTATTTAATTGAATCACTATTCTAATAAATAATACTAAAAAATAGAGTCCGTGGATTCAAGTTTTAGTAATTTGTTAATCACAAGGAGTTGTGATTATAAGATACAAATTACGTATAATTAAATTTCAAATTATCCATGGTCGTAAGTAATGACGAGGTACGGATATCGTTATTATGGATAGACCATCACGTGTGACATTTCTTACTTGTGAAAATAGTAGTCGATCTCACAAGTCAAAGTGTGGTGACACTTAAATTAATATATTGATATTTTGTTATAGAACAAAACATTGAAGACTCGCTGGGATTAACACATAGGGGAACAAAAGATATGATCGATAATTGAGATTGACACGTATCCATATCTCGTAATTAATCGGATCATATTGACGAATAGATTATAGTTTCACGGTAAATGAATAAGTTTAGTTTTGTCATACCATATGATATTTTTCATTACATGTATTGTCATTACACATTGCTAGATATCAATCTGGAATGTTGAATGTGAATTGGTGATAAATTAGAAGGAGTGTTTTAATTTATCGATTTTGATTACATCAAAATAATAATTCACGTCATTAGGCATCGTGATTGGAAACCTAACGAGTCACACACAAAATGAGAATTAGAATAATGAGATTTACTGATTAATTAATTAATAAGTGTTGGATAATTAATTAATTTATGGATCAGATTTAATTAAATATTGGGCCGGCTAAAGAGACGGCCCAAGCTTATTTGAGCTTATATAAATAAGCTACTAGAGTTTGAAAAACGTAGAGATTATCATTATTCTTACTGGTGAAAGAAAAGTAAAACCTTAGTTTTCTCTCAATCTTGCTTCATGTGTAGATTTTTATTAGAAGTTGGACAATTGAACAGCTGGTGGTGATAGATCAAGATTGTTGGAACAAAAGAAAAACAAAGAAGTTTGCAAAATTCAACAAAGGTATAATTTTTATCACAATTTTTATCTAAACACAAAACAGATCATTGTTGGGAATTGAAATTTGTTTTATTTTTCTCTTGCACGATTAAATAAATTTCCAACAATCTCTGCAAAAATTCGATAGGAAAATGAGGGAATTTTTGGGAAGGCTATGAAAATGATGGTTTATTGAAAAGCTTTTGAGTAGTGAAGGAGCCATAGAAATTGCGAAGATGTAAACTTCGAGAAATTGATGATGCCATCGCTACTGTTAATGAAATTCTTTGCTTGAGGATGAGGTTCAATAGGATGGATGCGATAGGGTGTGTGATTATATAAATTAGTTTACAATATAATTATTATATTAAAATATTAAATTGTCACTTGATTTTTGATTAAACAAACTTCGTATCTGATTTTTAAATTGTGATATTTAAATACATGTTCTAGTGTAATTTTCACTTATTATATTTCTCTGTTTTTAAATCAAATTTATTTATAAAAATAAACAAATGAGTAGAGGAGGGGAATGAGAATGTTTTAATCTTGATCCAATCTCGTTCTTGCTACCTCTCAAAAAATCTCCAAAGAAGTGGGAAATGGGGAAGGCATCCTATCTAGTTCTGCCCATCTTATTGGCATCCCTAAATTTTGCATTACATTAACAAACTTAAAACATAAATTTAGTCATTATTATACACCTACTATAGTATTATTTTCATTTTAGCATTTAACTTGTCATCCCCCCTGAAGTTTGTAAAGTTTGGCATCGAAGTAGACATATCAGTTATGTTGATGTCAAAATTAGCAAGGATAATTTTGAACCAATTTTAAGAAAAAAGGCGATTTGTGCTTAGAAAAGATCACAAAAATGTCATTTTAGTGTGATTGTGCTATAAGTCGTTATATGAATTTGCTCTGCCTTTACAAGGGTCCTATTCAATTATTTATACATAGTTTCAGCCGAAATTACATCAAATCAATCAAATCAGCAACAGTGCCGAGCTCGGAACTCGGGTCGCCGAATTCTCCTGTGATTGGTCAATGAGGCCGGTGATTATATGTCAATGTATTACCAGGTAATGATGACCTGTAAGGGGCTGGAGTTCGAGGACTTGGAATTGGTTGTTCCGGGCGGCGATGACATCAGCTGTGGCAAGTGTTTCTGATTGATAGGTTGATGTGACAAGAGGTAATCATGATATTTTTCTAAGATAACGGCGGGTAACTCCGACCTGGGAGTGTGGGCCGAACTTACGTTTAACTAAGGTAGGGTTAGTGAACTGTTTTTACCAGATCGGAGTTCGGATGTCAACAGTTATCCCTCAGGTCAGCTCTACCGTAGGGGGGTTGACCTCAATGATGCTTTCTCCAAGAAGTACATTTATGACTGTGACAAGTGTCATCTTTTGAGGTGGATGAGCTGTACGCCATTTATAAGTAGCTTCTTCAGCAAGCTTGGCCAAAACTATGTCGTTTTGTCTCCCAGACTTTTGGATTGTTGATATTTTTCCTCTATTTCTGGATGAATCGCCCCTTTCTTTAAATCCGATTTTGGTCAATCATTTCTCTTCTTATTTCGCTGATTTTACTTTCTCAGATATTTGGGTGATTTTCCTAAGTTCGTATTCCCGTAATCGAGTGAGGTCATTTTCTCAGTTTGTCTCCCAAGTATCCTTCTGTTCTTATCTGTTGCCTCCTTTCAGTTTGTGCTTCTTTTCTCAGTTTATACATGAGTTCGAACGAGTCTAGAGTTCATTCCTAGGGCAACCAGCAGGAACAGTCAGTCTCCTTCTCGACGAGTTCGTCTTCTAGTTGTAGGGAAGTTTTTACCCCCATTCCTATTTTCGTAGTTAACCCAATTGACCTAGGGCATCCTGTGATAGAATTAGGACGTGAGGGTTCCAAGGGAGCAGGTAGATTCAGTAAGGATGTTGAGGAGAGTAATTCCAGGGAATGGGGGACGAGTTCTTATAGGTCGGTTATGATAGGGGATGTGTTGGCCAGTTGGCGAGCTAAATACGCCATTTCTAGTTCGGTAGTTATGATAATACCAGAGCCATCTGACTGAGCTGACACTCTTCCTGAGGGATGTGTTGCTCTGAACTCGGCTATCTTCCAGGTTGGCCTTAGGCTTCCTTTTCCTAGGGTGATTCGTAAATTCCTTTCCTCTTGGGGCATAGCTCCCACGTAGCTATGCCCTAACGTGTGGCGAACCTTAGCTATGCCCTGACGGGTGACAAACCTTAATAGCCACCCTGTAGGACCAAATGGGGAATTCCGAGCTAAGTGTCTAGCAATTCAATTCTCTATTTACTTTTAAGGAAGACGGGAAGAGCTCAGGCTGGTGGTACACAAGCGTTAGGCCCAGGACGGGAGGTTCTTTGGTGTTAGACACGCCTTACTCAATTAAGAAATGGAAAGAAGAATGATTTTATGTATCGGGGGAGTGGCAGTTTCATTCTACCAAGGTGAATAGGGAGGACGTGGTTCCCAGGCTCTATCATTCATTATGTAAGTGTCTTTTTGGGTTTTAGTCTTTTAGCAAGGAGTATGTTTGACGAAGTGCTGACCTCATTATTTTTCTTTGTGCAGATTACAAGAAGGAGACGTTAACCAAAGATACTCAGAGACGAGCTGAGAAAATAAGATCGTTACCTAAAAAGAAAAGGTCCTGTAAGTTTGTAATCTCAGATTCGAACTTATACCGGGCCGGACTACTGCAAGTATGAGCTTCAAGTTGGCTCCATCCAGTTCAGGTAATATTTTGATCTTAATTCGTGGTTATAATTTCTTTATGCATATACATATTTTTTGAGCATTTCGTTTTTTCTCAGGTCATCAGGACGAAATGCGGGGCTACAAGGTAGCTAAGGCGGCGGCTGAAGCTAAGGGAAAAAAGAGAGAAGTCCCAGAACGGATGGAGAGCCATTCTGAAGAGGTAGAGGAGGAGGTTCTGTTAAAGAGGAACCTATCTGCGCCTTCGGCATCACTGAGAATTCCAGAGGCTGTGCCTTTGCCGAGCCTAGCCCTGTCGTCTCCCTTGTTGCCATCCTCGATTGCCCCTTCTGCTGTGGGGACCAGTTCTGCGAACTTACACGATCGGTGCCCAGATTTACAAAGGCCAAGCTGGGAAAGTTTGGTAGGACACAGACCAGAGATATTTCTGGACTATCTCCAAGCTCCTTCTCCTTCCAGGGGCATGACGTCGCGCTCACTTCACCTTTGAGGGAGTCGGCCAATCTACTTACCCGGAGTTGGGGTGAGAGAGAGCAGGGCTATCTGAACGAGATGCCCATTGGTGAGGCTTTGGTCATTGCTCAGCTCCGTGGCCACCGATCAGTTTTATACATGATGACAGTGGCGGATAAGGTATACCTCTTACTTGATTTTTTGATTAATTTTATAAATGCCTTAATGACTTACTTGATTTTTTATTTTTGATTTTTGATTTTTGAAAAACATGTGAAGTCCGAGCTGGACAAACTTATAGAGGCAAAAGATCAGGCCTTCAACCTTTGCAATAGCATGGAGCCTGAAAAAGCCCAGTTCGCTTTGAGGGAGAAGGAGTATGAGGAGAAGCTGAACCAGATGGGGATCGAGCTGAACTCCAGGCTCAATGTCGAGGAGAGACTGATGGAGGAGTTCAAGGCTTTGAGGGCCTCGGAGGAAGAGGCCAGAGCTTGGGCAGAAGAAGAGCGCAGTAAAGTTAGAGAGGCCATCCAGAAGGTACAAGAGGCCAACGAAAGGGCAAGGCAGGCCACAAAAAGGGTTGAAGAGGCTGAGGTCAAGATTGACAGGGCGGTGGAGGCCTGGAAGGAGTCCTCCGAGTTTGATGTGGTGGCCTAGGATGTGTACGTGGTGGCCCTGGAGGAGTTGGTGGGGCACATCAGGAAGGAGAGGCCTAATCTTGATGTGGCCTTTCTAGATGAGGCACTGGAGGGGTAGAAGGAGGAGTTGCGAAAGTTGTCGGAGTTTGCTGGAGTCCGGGTATTACCGGTAGCTCAGGATGTTGAAGATACTACCCTTGCCCCCCAAGACCCTTAGGCGATTTAAAAAACATTGGTTTTTTGGTTTTCTTAGACTTGCGATTTGAACTTTGTTTTGACTATTTATGACATTTTGTTTGGAATGGATAATTTGTTTATGTTCAGTACGGCTTTTCCTCACAGACTTAGCAAAAATTGTAAGAATGTTACAATAGTGTGTAGAATTACTTTGAATGAATTTCGCTTAGTTGTGCAGTACTCGCTTTCCGAACCAGGCATATACGTTGGGCATTTTTACTAAGTGTAGTACCACGTACGGCCTTAGCTCGTCCAACCGTGATGAGCGGGGCTCTATAGATTCCTTAGGAGGGGAGATTCCTTAGGAGGAATCTTCCACTAAGTGTTGCAGCACATACGACCTTAGGTCGACTTGCATATGGAGCAGGGCTTAATGAGATTCCTCAAGAGGAATCTTCCACTAAGTGTCGCAGCACATATGATCTTAGATTGGCCTACATATGGAGCAGGGCTTAATGAGATTTCTCAGGAGGAATCTTCTACTAAGTGTCATAGCATATACGACCTTAGATCGGCCTGCATATGGAGCAGGGCTTAATGAGATTCCTTAGAAGGAATCTTCCACTAAGTGTCATAGCACATACGACCTTAGATCGACCTGCATATGGAGCAGGGCTTAATGAGATTTTGACAGATTGCTGAGCAAAATGTTCAAAAGAAATGGGAAGTCTCTTTTTATTGATGTGATTGACGTTACAATGGAACTTTTTTCGTTTACTGGTAGTATTGCTTAAGGTGTTCGGCATTCCAAGGGTAGGGTAAGGATCTACCCCCAAGTCTTCTAGTTCATATGTTCCTTTTAGCAGGACCTTCGTTATCAGATAGGGACCTTCCCAATTCTGACCTAGGCATCCATTGCCGATCTCTCTTGTGGGGAGGAATACTTTCCGTAAGACGAGGGATCCTACCTCAAATTCTCTTTTTTCGTACTTTTTTATTATTGTACTTGGCGTTTCACTGTTTGTAAATGGCATTTTTGAGTTCGGCGTTGTTCTTTTTTTCCTCGGTTAGGTCGAGTTCCGTGTGAAGGGCTATGTGGTTCCTTTCTTCGTCGTAATCAGTTATGTGCAGTGAAGGAATGTTGATTTCTAGTGGGATCATGACCTCTGTGCCAAAAGCCAGTGAAAACGAGGTTTCTCCTGTGCTTGTCCTTGCGGTAGTACGATAAGACCATAACACACTGGGGAGTTCCTCAGCCCATCCTCCTTTAAACAAGTCGAGTTTTGCTTTCAATGTGTGCTTAATAATCTTGTTAATGGCTTCGACTTGGCCGTTTGCCTGTGGATGGTTTGGTGATGAGAAATGTTTCTTGATGCCAAGCTCTTCGCAGAAATCCGAAAGTCGTGCGTTGTCGAACTGTTTTCCATTATCCGTAACAATGGAGTGAGGTATGTCGAACCTGCAGATCAATGATTTCAACAAAAAGTTGGTTATTTTCTGTTCGGTGATGGTGGCAAGGGGCTCTGCCTCGGCCCATTTAGTGAAGTAATCCACTACGACGATGGCGAATTTTACACCTCCTTTTCCAACGGGCATGGGTTCAATTAGGTCAACCCCCCATTTTGCAAAGGGCCAGGGTGCTGTCACTGGGTTTAGTTCGCACGGTGGAGTATTTATGATGGGGGCGAGGCGCTGGCACTTATCGCATCTTTTGAAAAATTCAAGGGAATCTTGTCTTATTGCAGGCCAAAAGTATCATTGTCGTATGATCTTGTGGGCCAGTGAGAGTCCGTCGGAATGGTTTCCACATATTCCTTCGTGAACATTTTGTAGGGCATGCTGGGCTTCCTCTTCGTTCAAGCATCTTAACAAGGGCGTGGAATATCCCCGTTTGTATAGTAAATTATCAATGAAAGTGTACCTAGCCGACTTTGTTCGGAGCTTTCTAGCCTCTGCAGAATTTTCGGGGTATTTTTCGATTTTCAGGTAAGAGATGATCTCGTCTTGCCAAGTTGGTTTGGGGTCTTTTATCATAAGGACCACTTTATTTAGCTCGGTGGACGGTAGGGATATTCTTCCTATGGGAATGCTATTGAACTCCTTGATTCTCTCACTGGTGGCTGGGCGGGCCAATGCATCGACGTGATTGTTCTGAGATCGGGGAATTTGTTTGATTTGGGTGGTTTTAAACCTTTCAAGTTCTTTTTTTACAACTCGTAGGTAGTTGTCCATCCTATCTTCTTTCGTCATATATACACCGTTGACCTGATTCACGACTAGTTGGGAGTCGCTGTGTAGGATTAGGTCGGATATCCCTAGTCCTGAGGCCATCCTTGCTCCAACAATAAGAGCTTCGTACTTAGCTTCATTATTTGAGGCTTTGAAGTCAAATGGCAAGGCTTCACGGAACATGCGGTGAACAGGGCTGATTAATACGACGCCGACTCCAGATCGTTCTCTGGTGGATGAACCGTCAACCTAAAATTTCCAAGAGATTTCTTTCTGTCGTTCTTCAATTGGAACGTTGCAGAACTCAGAGACAAAGTCGACGAATGCCTGACCCTTTATGGAGGAACGAGGCGTGTATTTGATGTCGAATTGTCTAAGCTCCACTGCCCATTTTACCATCCGTCCAGAGGTATCGAGCCTTGTAGTGTTTGCCTCAATGGAGAGTTGGTCAGGACCTCAATGGGGTGTTCCAAGAAATATGGCCTCAATTTTCGCGCTGCCATCAGCAGGGTGAATACCAGTTTTCCTACAGCCGAATATCTGAGCTCGACTTCATGAAGTGCTTTGTTTACGTAATAAACTGGATGTTGAACGCAATTTTTTTCTCGGGTTAGAACGGCACTAATGGCGTGCTCTAAAACAGATAAATATTTTCAAGGCCTCGTCTGCCTTAGGTTTTGAAAGCACCAGAGATCGGGCTAATTGTGTTTTTATCTCGTTAAAGGCGTCCTGGCATTCTTTGGTCCATTCAAACTTCTTTCCACCTCGTAACGTGTTGAAGAAGGGTTTGCAGTGGTCCGTAGATTTGGAGACGAACCGACTGAGGGCTGCAACCCTTCTGGTTAAACTTTGTACTTCTCTGGGTTTGGTTGGAGGCTTCATTTGGATGATAGCTTGTATTTTTCAAGGTTCGCCTCAATTCCTCGGTTGTTTACAATGTAACCTAGGAATCTTCCAGAATTGACCCCGAAAGCGTATTTCCTCGGGTTCAACTGCATTCCATACTTCCTCAGTATATCAAACATTTCGGTTAGGTGTTGACAGTGGTCCTTAGCCTTAATTCTTTTGACCAGCATATCGTCAACATACAATTCCATTATTTTTTCGATCTGCTGGGAAAACATGGAATTCACAAGTCGCTGGTAGGTGGCGCCAGCCGTTCTGAGACCGAATAACATTACTCTATAACAGTAAAGACCTCGATCAGTTACAAACGAGGTATGTTCCTGATCCGGGCCGTACATTGGTATCTGGTTGTATCCAGAATACGCGTCCATGAAGCTGAGTAGCTCATGTCCGGCGGTGGCGTCCACCATTTGATCTATTCTCGACAATGGAAAGCTGTCTTTGGGGCATGCTTTGTTGAGATCGGTGAAATCTATGCATACCCTCCAATCTCCGTTGTGTTTTTTCACAAGGACCGGATTCGTGACCCACTTCGGGTATTTTGCTTCATGGAGGAAACCATTGTTCAACAGCTTTTGTACCTCTTTGTTGAGTGCTTCATATCTTTCAGGATTCAGAGGTCGTCGTTTTTGTTGCTTTGGCCGAGCTGAAGGATTCACCTGTAATTTGTGGCATGCAATATTAGGATCTATTCCTCTCATGTCACTGTGATCCCAGGCGAAGACATTGAGGTTTTCTTTAAGGAAAGCCACAATCTTACTTCGGGCGGAGGGCTGCAACTTGCACCCGACTTTGAGTTCCTTTGTTTGGTCCTTGGCATAGACTCGAACTCCTTCTAGTTCTTCTACGGGTTCTCAGCCTTCTGATGAATGCTCTACACTCATAATATTTATGCCACCTAATTTTTTATTTTGTTACTTTTGAGAGTGTTTTAGAGCTTTTTATTTTGTGTTTTGATGCTGTGACGTAGGTCGATGAAATTGAAAGAAATAAGCAAAAGTTGGTGAAATTGGAGAAAATTGCCAAATTATAAGACATCCAAAGTTCAGGGACTAAAGCGTAAATATTGAAAAGTTGTGTTGAACCTCGCAATGAAGATCCGAGCATGCTAGGAGTCAATTGATGTGGCGCCACCTATGCGGGTAAACGTATTTTGATATTTTTGAATTTCTTTCTCAGCCCATTCCAACCCAAAATCGTCCAATACTAGATGAGACTGTAAATACTACCTAAAAGACCTAATTAAGAGGGGGGAAACGAGCAAGGAAAACTGAAGCGGCCGGCAAGAACATGTGATTGGAAAGAGGAGTTTAGCCAGCCAATTGCAAAAATCTGGAGACAAATCAACGGCTGGTCAATACAATTAAAGAAGAGGAAGTTAATTGAGAGAATTTGGCAACAATGGAAGAAGAAATCGAGCGACAAAAACGAGTTTTTCTATTTCTTTTCTTCTCTATGTTCTTTCTTATTAATCTATTCATGTCAATTTTCTCAATTATGAACTAAACAATTATTCTGGGATGATGTAGCCTACTTGAGACATGTTTGGATTCCGTTATAATTATTTCAATTGATCTTTCCTTTTTATATATTTATGTTGTTTGTGCGCAATGCTTTCAATTAACTGGCCACTAATTGACTGATTTGTTGTTCTAAATTTTGGCGCTCGAGGGAGGCAAATTTAGGCGTGATCTAAGACAACATAACCTAGATTTCGTAGGTTTCGAGAGAAAGTGCGAATCTTTGAGGCTTATTTTAATTAAGAACCACGTGCTTGATAATTTTTATATTTTTAATTTGGAATAGAAATATTGGAATTAATATATAAAAATAGATTTTATTTGGCGCTTGAGAGAGGGAAATAGAATCACTTTAGCGTTCTTGCCTATAAATTTTGGAAAGATTGATAGAAATAGTTATACGGTTGAAAAATATTGTCGAATGTACGGTGAAATCATTTCATAGGCATTCATAATTTGATAAGAAACTTCATAATTTTCCCTCGTTTACTTGCATCGTTCATCTTATTTAATTTTAATTTAGCATAAAAATATTGACTCAAAATTTGATCGTCTAAATAAAGGGAAAGCTAAAATAATTATAGTACTCAATTGATTCGAATATCAATCCTTATGGGTTCGACATCCTAACTTTTTTACTATATTACAAAACTTGACACCGTACACTTGCGGTTTAAAAATCACGTTGCATAAATTGCGTGGTAAGTTTTTGGCGCCATTGTCGGGGATTGATTTATTTGAATTCAATTGATATTATTACCAATTAACTTTCATTTTACTTTAGATTTTTATTTCTATCGTAATTTTTATTTTTATTTTATTCTTTTTGTGTCTATCTTTAAGGGGTTCCTTGTGGTTATTTTCAATTGATTATGTGATGGGCGAGAAATCTAGACCTACTACCTGTTGATCCTGAACCCGAATGCACATTTCGCATTCTCAGAGGCATACAAAGAAATGAACGGAAAGCAATGGCAGAACAAGATGCTAGAGCAGCCAATGAGGATAACCAACAAAGGGCTTTTTGGAACTACATAAGGTCGATTGTCAATGACAACTATTCTGGCATCGCACGCCCAGCAATTGCTGCAAACAATTTCCAACTGAAGCCAGGACTTATACACATGGTGCAGCAGAATCAGTTTGGGGGAGCTCCAACAGAAGACCCAAATGCTCATTTGGAGACCTTTCTGGAGATCTGTGATACAGTGAAAATGAATGGCGTTACTGAAGATGCAATCCGACTTCGCCTATTTTCCTTTTCCCTAAGAGACAAAGCTAAGGCATGGTTCCAATCATTGCCGTATGGATCCATCACAACTTGGGAGGGGTTAGCGCAGAAGTTTCTTACAAAATTCTTTCCACTTTCGAAGGCAGCGCAATTACGGAGTGAAATTGGACAATTTCGACAATTACACTTTGAACCATTCTATGAGGCATGGGAGAGATATAAAGATCTATTCAGAAGATGTCCTCAGCTTGGTTACCTGGATTGGTTGCAGATACAAACCTTCTACAACGGTTTGAATGGACAGACACGGATAGTGGTAGATTCTACAGAAGGGGGTGCACTATTATCCAAAACTCCAAATGAGGCTTATGCATTATTGGATGAGATAGCTACTAATAGCTATCAATGGCCGAGTGAGCGTTCAAGTGCAAAGAAAATTGCTGGCCTTTATGAAGTAGATCCTATTACCGCCCTTGCAGCTCAAATGTCATCTCTTACTAATCGAATAGCTGCATTGACTTTACATGGATCACAAAAGAAATCAGAATCTATTATGGCTACATCCACTACATACCAAAAAGTTGAAAGGGAGAATGAATAACTTCAGTATGTGAAGGATCGGAATTTCAATCAAAAGGAAACTACTCAGGAAACAACTACTATCAGGGGTTCAATAATCAAGCGTTTGAGCAAAAGCCATCACTAGAAGATATTTTAAGAACTTTCATTTCGGAGACCAGATCGAGGTTCAACAAAGATGAGGCAAGACTTAACAGCATTAAGACACATATGACCAACTTGGTGGCTACAGTGAAGAATTTGGAGGTACAGATTGGTCAGATAGCAACTGCAATACAGTCTCAACAAAAAGGACAATTTCCCAGTGACACAGAGGTTAACCCACGAGAACACTGCAATGCTATCACCTTAAGAAGTGGTAAAGCAGTTGAAGAACGCAAGCTTAGAGAGGTTGGGGTACCTACATCGGATCCCATTCTTGCAAGGGAAAAGCATACTGAAGGGCAGAAAACTGAAGTAGAGGCAACAAAGAAGATCTATAAGCCTTACTCAATTTCATTTCTGGACAACCCACCTATCTTGAAGCCCGCACTACAATTCCCACAGAGGTATTTGACGAAGGAGTTTGATGAAAAAATCGCAAAGTTTCTAGAGGTCTTCAAGAAAATCCACATCAACATTCCCTTTGCAAAAACCTTTGCCCAAATGCCTAACTATGCAAAGTTCTTAAACGAAATAATGTCAAAGAAGAGAAATTTGGAGGAATTTGAGACTGTTAAGCTGACAGAGGAGTGTAGTGCCATACTTCAGAAGAAGCTCCCTCACAAATTGAAAGATCCGGGCAGCCATTTGATAGGGCACTATGTGACCTTGGAGCTAGCATAAACTTGATGCCCTTATCAGTGTTCAAAAAGTTGGGTCTTGGA